GTAGTTATATACAGTCTGTATAAGTGTGGTCAATCTAATGAACATTTGTAAGGAGATGGCAGTTACTGTGAATTCACAGCAGTTACACAGTGATTAGTAATAAACAGAGCCAGTGAGAGTGAGTGGATTTAAGAAAGTCAGTGACTCAGGTGTGGCGATTGGTTTGTCATCTTTTTTTGGGACTGGAGGAGACGTAGAAATCTATTGTTTTAAATCTTAGTTAGGAAGATTCCTGTTGTAAAACAAGCATTTTGTGTGAGAAATGCAAGACGTACATCTGCAGAAAGCACACAGTTACATTCTGTCCATCATGTGAACAAAATCGAAAATGTTGAGCATTGAAAAACTGAGAACGTTGGGCAAGTTCAAAAGAAATGTGTTTTTAAGAACGAAAAACCAAATTGTTCCTAAAATAGTTATGGAAAGTCTAACTGTTGTATGTCTGTGTTCTACGTGTTTATCTGATGGGAAATAAAGTTGCTATTGTTTTATTGCAGTTTCTTGACAATCCTGAGTGGATTTACACAGTACGGGTAAAAATGACCCGCAACAAAATCAATGTCACTTTTTTGTTTTTCAACATAATACAAGGGTTAATTTCCAACACTTGCTTGTGATCTTCAATTTGTAGCAGATCCACTATCACATAGCAGCTAGAGCAGTCTCCAATGGAGGTCAGTCCACTGCTGCCACCTGTGGCCAAATACCACAGCCTACTACTAGATTAACTTGTGACACATCTGCACCTGCTGCTATGATCACATTGAGTAGAGGCTGAGTGGCTGCACTTAGCCCTGGTACATCCACATCTACCCACAAACATGTTGAAAGATGCAATCCCAGCAATGTGGATTGTCAACACTAAAAACAATCAGTAAGCGAAGACAACAGGGATAAATTTTTTCTGTTTATTTAGCAACCACAACATTTGTAGTCGCCTTCTGCAGAGGGGAAGTCCACACACACCGTGTGGTACCACTTCCCATAGAAGGTGCATTCAATCTGCAAGTAAAATTAGATTGTCAGAGCCATTCATCTGAAGTCAGGCTCTTGAGTAAAGCAACTAAACATGTTACAGTGTGCAGATACTGCATATTTCTGTGCAACAGTCTTATCTATGTATCACTTGATGTTTCCATGCGTCCTTTAGGTGCTCTAGTGTCTTTAAAGTGCAAAGGCATGCAGGTCACCTGAACTATAATTCCACTGTCGGTGCATCAAAGTGACATGTCACCCAGTGATGTTGAAGTAACCCAGTCAAGGTGCTTCCATCTGAGGTATTGATTTCGTTATCTTACCCATGCTAACGACATGTGATGTTACAACACTGGTGAAATATTAGTGTGTCTATATTTGTTCACGACATTTTTCTTATGGGCAAAAGTATTGATATCATGATGAACAGGGGTGTTGATTCTTATGACTTTGTGTATATAATTTGGCATTTTGTACAAATGTAGCCTGATAGTACATACATGATATCATTTTGTTCTTTTCAAAGGTTTATTTGCATGACGCACAGACAGAGACAATTGAAAGGTACAAATGTGTTGTGCATGAAACGAATTCAAACGTGGTGCAGATGTGTGTCACAAATTGATCTGGCTGTTGTTAATTGTTTGCTGTTTTCGCGATCGCGTCGCGCATGAGGATATCACCAGGTAAACTCGAAACATTTGTAAACATTTTGTTGTTCAACGGCATCCAGACTGACGGAGTGTGTTTGGGATAACCTCACAAGTGTCACAGATGACACATTTGGTGTTTTTTTGCTGGTTTGTCGGTAGCAGCTCCTGAAACGCAAGACTGCCACACATCTGTTCGACCAACGCCAGTTGATCTAAACGTCAGTAGATCTGGAACACCGGCCCTCAGCCATGTCTGTTATACAGAGGAAATCCAGCCCTTGGGTCATAAATAAATCCCTTAAACTAAAAGTTTTATTACTCAGCGATCTAGTGTTCACCAATCCAAACCTGGTGGAGGTCAGCGTGTTCGTGGCTGACAGCGAGACCCGACGCAGTGGCCGCAAGTTCTGTAGGTTCGCACCGCGCCGACGAAGATGAGGGAAAATCTTTCGCGGCTGGGACATCTGATCCGAGCCAACAACGGGCACCAGTCAGGCATCGATGGGCTCCAGAGAGCACGGAGAAAAGGCATGACAAGGTACAGATCCACGTTCGTTCCAAGAAGCCGGGGAGGAGCGCACCAAGTACGCCTTAAGTTTCACGAGTAGACCGCTACGTTTGCCCCGGCATCTGAAACGCTTTCGCCGTGAGGCTGGGGCCAGGGTCCGACAAAGGTTAGCTGGTATCCCAGACAGGAATGGAGGTAACGCCTTATGTCCATTATAAGTTGCATTGGTAAGATCACTGGCAACTAGTCGGAGGTCCAACAGTTTTTGGCGATTGTACATTAAAAGAGAGTTGACTCTAGCAATAAAAAACAACATAAGCAAACACAACAGAGGAAGAGCCAGACGGCGAGCCACACACACTGGCGCCATCTTGGTATCAACATCCACATGAATAGCAGTGCCCAGCAGAACATTGCATATCTAACCATTACACTGCTACCGCCAGCTTCTTCCAGTTCATCCTCAGGTAAAGATATAAACTTATCCAGCCATTCATGGGATGTAAAAGAAAATGTGACTAACCAGTCCAGGGCACCTTCTTCCATTGCTCAGTGGTCCAGCTCTGACACCTGTGCATTCAGAGGATACACAACAAATTGACACTTTTCTATTAGAACCAGCACTAACGTAATTTAAACTACAGTAGCTCAGCACTGTTTAGTCTTCTAGTTTCTAATTAGTTTTTATTTTTAATTCATTTTGGCTTTTTGCTTTAAATTCACTCTATTTTCCATTAGTTTCTATAGTGGATTTTGGTTTTTACTGTTTTTAGTCATTATTGTATGGAGTTCATATGTCAGAGGAAGGTCTTAGGAAAAGCAGTACAAGTATCCAAGTGTTTCCTCTATATTTGTATTTTATTTTAGTTACTTTTCCAAGTTCAACAAAATGTTTCAGTTAGTTTACTTTTTTTTTCAAAAGTTTTCAAAAGGGTTTTTTTTTTCACAGATAATTATAATACTGACAGCTGTACATAAGAGCTGCAGTTCTAACTCAGTTGAATAACCATAAAAGGTCATCACTTGTTTAAATCCTTACATTTGCCCATTTTTCCTGCTTCTAACACATCAACTTTGAGGACAAAATGATCATTCGCTCCTTCATGTATCACACCCACTACTTTGTGCCATGAGGAACAGATAATCATGACAATAATGTCTGATCTGTGTATATTTCCACTTTATTCTCTCCTTCTCATTTTCACTTCTTTTATTTCCTTTTTAAAAACATTTCTGTTCTCCCTTCTTCCATTATCTTAAATAATGTAATAAAATGCTATTTGAGCAAATTTTCTGGAGACCATCCTGCAATTGGATTCTCGGGCCACACCCATATTCGAACAAAGGCTTTGTGAAGTGTTGTGACCGTGTTTTATCACGTTTATGTAATCTGTCTCCAAACAAACATCTCAACACTCTTTATAAAAGAGACTGTCAAGACTGTTAGGTATCTGCCATAGCATTTTTATTACTGAATCAATTAACTCTCAGTCAAACACTTTACAGGTAGACACACAGACTCATTAATCTGCATCTTATAATAACACTATACATCATGAAGCCTCAGTTGTAGACCATGAGGGAAAGACTGGGGTTGGATTTCTGACTTGTTTATGTTCATTTTATTACTTACGCTAAAGTGATTACAGAAGTAGAGATCTCTCTCACGTGGCTTGAATTCAGTCAAAGATAAGCGTCAGAATTAAAACAAAGTAGTGCAAAAAGGGTCAAAGGTTGAACCAGGAAGTGGTTCTCAGACTATGAACTGCTGTAAAACAGCTGACACTGAATCACAGTGCAAACTCTAACAACCTAAATACATACAAGGAGAATCTGTCACTGAACAAGCTTGAAACCCACTTATGATAAAGAACAACAGTCCAACAGTAAATAAGTAGATAATAATCTCTGTTTGTTGTTAGTTTTACTGTATTTTTTTCTGAATATGTGCCACACTGAAATTATCAAGCGTAACTGTAATTGCTTTATCAATGGTTAGTTGATTTTGCATGACCTGCTGTGATAATATATCCTCTGTGTCATTTTATTTTTTAAATTACAGAAAGAACAGTACACTTACCGTCTGCTTCTTCTGTTGTTTAATGATTTTTACAGCTTCAGTTCAGCAACAGCATGACTTCTCTGACAGAGAGGGAATTTATGCATCAGACTGTGTGAGTGGGAGTGTTCTCTCGGGGCAAGACGGAGGAGGTGTCGTTTCAGTCTTCTTAGGAAAGCCCCAAATGGTCCAAAATACGTAAAGTTCACCTCCACAATTTCATACACCTGACAATAACAAGCACCAAGAACAACAACAACAAAGAAATGATGTTACCAAGTAAAGAAATGAGCTGCTTACACAGGAAAACTGGTCCTTAAAAGGAGAATGTCTAGCACATGCTGATACGAGACATAGAAATGTGGGGGTTATGGTTGTTAGTCTGTGTATGAAAAGTTACTGCCACTATTCACAGATCTTGGTTACATGTAATTTTCTTAAAAAAAAATAAAATGCTGCAAAATGTGCTACAGATTCTTTTAAAATCACCCTAAAATAGAGTAGGAGCAGGCCCTGTGTCGCTGTGTCAACCTTCTTCCATCATATACATAAGCATAAACTTACAGAAAGAAGGAGGAATATATTATTTAGAAATAGTGTAAAAACTTTACCGTGAACAGGTGTAACTGCCAAACACTGAGCTTCTCTTGTCTATCAGGCCGTTACCTGCCGAGGGAATTCCCGCAGATCAACGTCACCGTTAATTACATCCATCTGAAAGCAAATCTGAAGATTGCGACTGACACCCCCGTGTACTCGCTCCAATCTCTCTGTCCCGAGGCCCCTAATATTATTCTGTTGGACTTTAATTACTGTAATTTGAAGAAAACACTGGGCACTTTCTATAAATATGTGAACTCTCCTACACGCTTCAATAAAAATCTGGATCTTTGTAATGGTTTCATTAAAGGTGCGTATACATCTGTGGCAGGCCCCGCTCTCAGATCCTCTGACCAAAACACGGTGCATCTCCTGCCTGTTTATAAGACTGTGCTACGGAGAGAGAAGGCAAGGAAACACCCCACAGAGGTATGATAACGATGTCTCTTTAGCCCTGCAGGGCTGCTTTGCTTGCACTGACTGGCCGGTGTGAGTCATCCGAAAACATTAATGAACTGACTGACGTTATCTGCAGCTTTTGTAGAGATATGATTATTCCTTTAAAAGTTGTGCATTGTTTTCCCAAATAACAAACCATGGTCTTCGAGGCTGATTCATGAAAGAAAGTCAGCTTTTATTGAAGGGAATATCTCTAAGGTAACAAAAAAAAAAAAATTACAAAGGAGATATGAGTTTGTTTCTTGGTATTATCAGTCGTTTTTAAATTTCAACACCTTGAAAACTAAGGACATGGTAATTGAATTCAGGAAGCCATCCCCTCATCCTGCAATGACAGTAGTAAATGGTGCAGCCATTGAACTGGTGGATAGCTATAAGTATTTGTGGGTTATTCTTGTTACTGCTCCGTCCTTTGAGTCACATTTTGCTGCTACATTGAAAAAAAATGTCCAACAACGACTGTATTTTTTTAAGGAGATTGAGAGTTTTTAATGTTTCATCTGCAATGATGACCCTTTTTTATGAAAGTTTTATTGATTTGATGTTTTGTATCATTGCTTGGTACCGATATTTGTCTTTAGACCAGACTTGGAAGGCAACCTCTGTCATGTTATGTTCAGACAATCCTCTCTTTAGAGATTTCCAGCTGCTTCCATCAGGTCGTCAGTATAAAGCGCCACCAGTGAAGACCAAGAGACATAGAGCGTCTTTTATACCTGCTAAACCATTAGCGTTGTTGCCATCACTACTACACATTGGACTTTGTTGATTCTACTGAAAAACCTGGGCTGTTCATATTTTATTTTTTTTTAATGTATGCATTGCTTGATGTGTGGACATACTGTAAATCAATTTCTAATTGGAGACAGTAAAGTTACCATTGACCATTGGATGTCTATCAGTTCAAACAATGCAAAAATTGCAATGGCAAGAACTGGGAAATCTCCCTAAGCTGAACCCAAAGTCTATAGAAAAGTTAATTCTGTTGATCTACACGTACCGTTTTCAGTGGGAGCAATGTTTTGTCACTCATCTTGCAGGTTTCCCCAACCTTTTAAACTTTACATTTGCATAATGACTGAGACTAGTACCAGTGGCAAGCAATGGGTTATGAGGTCAGGTTCATCTCTTCGTCTCTTTCTTCATCTCTCTGTTGGAAAGGCTGTCGACTGTGTGTGAGAGCCCCCTTCTGGCAAGAGAGCGCAGTTGCGCTTTTGGGCACATGGTCCAGACTCTGGACCATGTGTCCAGAGTCTGGACCATGTGCCCATGTGCTCTGGACTCCAGAGCACTGAGGTTAAGCTAACTCATAGCAAGAGCCACCTTTCAAACTGACTCAACAGTGGATATTTAGGCATGGTGTGAGTTGTGTGCGTAGCTAAAGAAGTGTTTGATTCCTGCCTGGAAAGGACAGTCTTGAGCCTTTTATGTCATTTAGGAAATCAGCTTATGTAGTAGAATGTTTAATATTCTGTTCACTGTGTGACTGGTTCATGCTTGTAAGGCTAGCTGTTATGTTACACTCTTCTAAGCTGTAATCTAAAATGATTTTGGTGTTCTGTGATCTATGATTATTGGGTGTATTTACATCTCCCATCCAGATGAACAGAAACAACTTTTTTGGGATTTCCTTATCTGGATGATTGAGCATGCACAGTTTTACAGTGGCTTTTAGTCCCACTAACATGCATTACGTTCCTGGTTTACAGGGGAAATGCAAACCCCGGGGCAGGGGTGTCACAAGGGCAGTGTGTACAAACATCTGTACTTGTGAATAAGCGAGCAGTGAAAAGAAGTTCTCCATGTGTGCTTCTTAGAATATTAAAAATGAGAAGGAATCTGATAATACTAGAATATGAATCATGTCAGCATAAAAAATGTTAAAAGTGGGAAAGCACAAAGGATACAGCACATCTTCTCATTTGTCAACACCAACCACATTCCTCCATTCATTTTATCTTTCAGAATATTACTATACTTACTCAACTGGCCCTCAGTTATCATCATGTGCTATCACTGTTCAAACAGAATACAAGGGATTTATGAAGGCAGAGATCCTCTGATCAAATTTGATTTCATGTTTTTATTTACAAAAACTCATATACATTTCAGAGGGAACCCTGCAAATGTTAAAAGGTGAGAAAAAAGAAGTCCTTTCTTTAAAAAAAAAAGGTTTCACCAGTGGGTGACCATGACAATAAGATCCTCAGTGATGAGGAAATATTAAAATAATAAACATGTGAGGCAGGTGAAAGGGAAGAAATGGCAAAGAAGAATGACAGAAAAAGCGTGTGCAAATATGTGTGAAAATACATTATAAAAGGCAAAAATAGAGTGCCATAATTCTAACAACAGTAAAAGTTAATATTTTACAATACCACATTTATTCTTCAATACACCTTGAATACTCTAAGTAATCTTCAGGAATAGTTTTCCAGGTTTCTTGTAGGCCATTCAAAACTTTCTCTCAGAATGAACTCTCAGAATGATCCCACATCTTTACAGGATGTTAGTGCAGTCTGAAGATCACACTGCTTTCTTTACAGCCACTGAGATAAGTGAGCAATACTGCATTTAAACCACGTGATGGAGGCAGAGACTAATAAAAAATAAAAGCACAGTGGGGGAGTCTTTCAAGCAAGCTCTATACAGCGCACTGTGAGCTGTGTGAACCACTGCTCTCACTCACTGTCGTTTTAAGCTTCACCAGCGTCCCTCTGTGGTAAATGTTTAATTCCATCTGCATGTACAAGCACACAACACAATGAATGCTCCTTTCGTCTCTCCCTGATTGCAAAGTATAATTCCTAGATTAACCTCTCCAACCTTTAATGTGGATATGAAACACTACATGTATAAAGGCAAATTTACACCATGGAGCACTACTCTAAACAACTGTCATATATTTAACTCTGTCTATGGAGCTGGATATTTCTTAAAGGTTGAAGGTTTTAAAGCATGTTTAGTGCCACCTTGTACCAGTAAAGAACATGACATCACTGGGTTGGTTGGTTGCAGATGTGAACAGTGTAGAGGACAGCCTGTCTGAGTCACCAGACAGACAAGCTGGAATCCAACACACCAGCTTTTCACCAGGCTTGGAAAAACCAGGGATGTACTGTCTATTTTCTCTGTCTCTTTAGCGGTAAGTTGTTCTTCATTGCTTTTGTCCAACACTGACATCAATCAATTCCCCCTATGGACATGCTGATGAATTTTAGGATTCCCGATCATGCATCGATAAGAAACTTAGTTATGTTTGTGGAATGACACAAATATACTAACCTGTTATGTTGTAAACTGTTTGGATGTAATTGAGAAAAAGATAATTTTATTGCATAAAATAGTGCTTATTGCATCTAGCACACATCTGCGCTTCTATCTGATTGCATCGTTCGGTACACCCAACCCGACAAGAGAAAATCAAACAGTGTCTGACTCTAGCTTGTCGGTTCAGTGAACCACCAGTGCACCTGACTATAACAGGCTCTCCTTCACACAGTCCTCATTTATAAAGTGGTCTACAAACTAACAGCTAACAGCTAACAGCTAGCTACCAATGAAAACAACTACTGCTAAATTGACAGAGTGAAAGTAGAAAGTACTTCCTTCGTTTATTATCATCAGACTCACTGCTGCAGCCAGGGGCAGTATAAATGTGATTCCCTTTGACTGCTTTTTGATTTTAGTCTCTTTGTTTTCCTCTGAGTTATTGGTTCTGTCACTAGTTAGCTAACATAACCTAATACAAGTCTGTTAGCGGCAACCAACCTACCTGTAAACATGCTCTACAAAATTTAACTTTAAACTATTATTTCCTAAATCCAGCTTCACAGACTTGCTACTTCATTGTTGTTGTTTTTAGAATAGGGCTCCACTGCATTACAGTTTTTCTCAATTGCTTAAACACATTTCTTGAAACTATGCCTCGTATTCTCAAACACAGTAAACAACAAATTCCATAACATCTCACCCACTTTCCCAAACATCGTATTTTCAGGTCAAAATAAAGTTCTACACCCAAAACCATTCACTCTTCCTGAAAAATCAGACACTACAAGATAGTGTTACACATTGGTGCAATAAATTAAAAACAATATTTCCAAAACTGGCAAGTTATGTTGCTTGTGGTTCTTCCCCTCAAATACCTTTTCACATGATGAACACAAGATGCGATCAATGTACATACGGTAGCACAATTTTTATTCATGTACCATGCAGTACAACACACGCCAAAAACATTATTCCACCTCAGCATCCTGTCTTTGGTCTGGGTCAGGCCAGGAAATTTCATCCACATCAGAGGCTATATTGGCCCTAGCCAGGCAGCAGGGTGTAAAATCCTCTTGCATGCCTGATCCAACCTTGGCATGCATCTACTGATATGTCCAGGAAGGCTTCTTCAGTGGCCTGGAGGAGGTGAACACAGACATAAGGTTCCCTGTTGTACACTTTCCACCACCACGCTGAAAATAACTCCTTTATCGGGTTTAGAAAGGGAGAGTATGCAGGCAGAAACCCAAGGTTAGAAAACCTTGGGTTATTGGTAAACCAGTCATGAACCAGAGCAGCGCGATGGAAGCTGATGTTGTCCCAAACGACAAGATAGTGAGGCTGCTCTGGCTGTGCTGGTTCCCTGTAGTCCACCTGGAACATATGTTGTCTTAGACCATCAAGAAAAGCAAGGAGAACCATAGTGTTATACGGTCCTAGATTGGCATGGCGGTGGAGTACCCCTCGTTGGCTGATGGCTGTGCACATAGTGACATTCCTTCCACGCTGACCAAGGACATTTACAATAGCCCGATGGCCAATTATGTTCCTCATCCTCCTCAACCTCTTCCTTTGCATGTGTTTGGATCCATTGTTTCAAACCTGAATGAGCTGACATTTGCCCTTTTATCTATCCATTAAAGTTTCTGATTGGTGTGTGATACATTTTGACTCCTAGTGTTTCCACTTGGTTAATTGTGTACTAACTGAGCTAAAGCTGTGCTGACTTAAGTTAACATTATTGAATGCTAGTGCTTTACCACATGGAGTAAGCAGTGAAAAATGTAGGGACTTGTGTGCAGAGTTTTGCAGTAACAGTTCGCCAAATCTCACTCATGTGTTAACGCAGGGGAATAGTGTTTATAGTTCAGGGAAATGGGTGTGCTTTTTGAAAAATAGTATTATGGTTTTGAAATTTTAGCTCAAAAGATTGTTTATAATGTTTAAGCAATTGAGAAAAACTGTAATACATGTGGTGTTTCATGGCCACCTTAATAATGTAACTGAGCATTCAAAAAAATTTTCCACAGTTAGTCACTGAGATTCATCTAAGTCATAAAATAGAGAGAATCTTATCTGAGATGGGGTTTGGTTCAAAATGCTGGATAAGTGAGATTTCTGAAAATACTTTATACAATGACCACTGAGCTCCTTTCGATGTGTTGAGTTTCATCCTGCCCCCCGGCCTTTCCTATGAGGCCTCTGATTTACTCCTCGAGTTCAAACAGGTGATGCAGGCTGGTTTAAGTGGTAGTTCTGAGTTTGGGTGAATGTGATTAATTTTTTAATGTGGGCCTTGATGAGTCCTCTAAACTTCCCTGTGGCAAAATAATAAACTACAGGATCCAAAATGCAGTTGAGGCCCATAAGAACCAGGGTGATCTGATGAGTGTCGTTCAGCAACTGACGAGTGGTCTCGCTGTACTTCACGTGGCCAAAGCCGTCTTCGATCTCCAGCACTGCCAGAGTCCAGGGGCCTTGAACTATGTGGTGTGGCAGGAAACACAAAACAAACACTCCCACCACTGCCGGCAACATCTGGAGAGCCCTCCGTTTTACCCCTGTCAGCTGTTTAAATGTGGACATTACATTGGGCGTTTTAGACTGTGTTTCTGAAGACTGAATTTTCGACTGAGAAGAGTTTTTATAAATTAAGACTCGAGCGATAAGGATATTGCATATCACAATGAGTGAGAAGACAACAAAAAACAATCCGATTATTAAAAAATGAGTGACAGCCAATATTTGCTTTTTCTTGTTAGTTCCACCCTGGTATCCCTCAAAACAGCGTGTGACATTTTTTCGTCCATTTTCATTTTTCTGGTGCACTTCACCCACCAAAACAGGAACAGACATTGCCAGAACAAACACCCAGTTAAAAAAACAAACAATAATTCCACGAAGTCTGCTGTCGGACAAGGCTGCGTCCAGAGGCCGAGTCACCGCCCAGCATCTGTTGATGCTGATGGCTGAAAGGAAGAGGATGGTGCCGTAAGTGTTGATGAAAAAGAAGGTGCCTGTCACCTGGCACATGACGTCTCCATAAACCCAGTCTCCTTCACGGATATAGTAGTTATTCCAAAAGGGAAGAGCACACACAAACAGAAGATCAGCGATGGTCAAGTTGGTCATGTAGATGTGAATTTCTCCCATGGCCTTGGCTTGATGAAGGCAGCACAGGACAAACAGCACATAGAGATTAGAGATGAAGCCCAGGATGAAGAAGACGATGTAGAAAACCGGGATGAGCACATAACGAAACTGAGAGTCCAGGAACGGATTAATGGTTGTGGACTCCACACTACTCATTGTTGTCATAGTAACTGATTGAGTGATTTCCATTATGTTTGTCTGTGGGAGAGAAAATATATTATCATCAGTACAATGGTTTACTCAGACTTGTGATGCAGATGACAAAGGTAGGGTATATTAGAAAGTGGAATCTTTGAGAACAACTTTTTTTTTTTGTAATATTTTAATTTCAGGTAAAATAAATAGAGAAAAAACAAAAAAAGTAAATGAGAAAGATTTAAAATAAAGAAAGAGGACATTTTTCTCCTGCAAGGACTAAGTTATCTATCAACTTTTATTGGCACAAATGTATTTACCAGATAAATTATTAGCCATTCCATACATTTATTGTATTAATTAATTTCTTGTGGTTATCTGAGCACATCTTCTAAAATTGTCAGATAATTCTTAACAGTCTGAGAAGTCTTAACATTTCTTTGTACTATGAATCATATGTTCCAAATTGATGTAATGGCACAGAAGTATGATAAGTTTTAAACTGGAGACCATCTTCCAAGAGAAACAACGGAAGCATGAAATCACTGAGTTGCTGGACCGCACCCATATTTGAACATACGCTTCATGTGAAGTTTTGTGGCCGTGTTTTGCACAGCTGTAGTTTTATCATAGTAATATAATCTGTCTCCAAACAAATATCTCAACACTCTGTATAAAAGGGCCTGTTAGGACTTTATCTGCCATAGACTTCTTATTACTCATCTAAGATCTAACTCTCAGTCAAATACTTTATAGCTAGACTCATTAATCTGCATCTTGCAGTAACTGAAAACTCAGTTGCAGAGTGAGTGGACAGACTGAGGTTGGATTTGTGACTGTTTTATGTTCATTTTATCTTCGGTTTTGCCACTAAGACTAAAATGGTTATAGAACTTGAAGCTACTGTTGGGATTGAATAATTTGCAGTGGCTCAATAATGCTATGCTTTTTATTAATAAGTGTTATAAAGTTATATAGTGTAGTATTAAGTGGACACAGCCCTGAAAAATAAAGGCATGAGACCATGTGTCCTTCGGGAGTAGAAAGCTGCAGACTCTCACTCACGCTTGCCTGGGGAAAATGTAGATAAGAGGGGACCATCTCTAGTGCAAAGTTACTGAGACACTGTTGTTTAGACTAGAATGAGAGAGCTTCTGTAATAAAACTGTTAGGGGCACACCACCATCATGAGATCCGCGGCGACGTGTCTTGCAGGACGCATCTCCCTTCTAGAAGTAAACTAGCACCAGAATTAAAACAGAAAGTAGTGCAAAAAAGTCAAAGGTTTAACCAAGCTGTTGTTCTCTGACTATAAACTGCTGTAAAGGAGCTGACTCTGAAACGGTGAAAACTCTAAACACCTAAAGATGTTCGAGGAGAATCTGTCAGTGAACAATGTGTCATGTGGAGCAGGCAGGATAGGACCCAAATGCAGGCTCTCGGAGGTGAAATTACAAATTACAGACAACAAGCTTGACACCCACTTACAATAAAGAACAGTAGTCCAACAGTAAATGAGCTGTGAAGCTGTTTGATAAACTGACACACCCCTGTTACTGGGAAATAACTGATGCTGCTAAATAATATCAGCTTGTGAACAAGTTTAACTGAGTACCATTTTTTCTGCCCTTTTTTCTGAATAATTGCCACAGGGGTTTATTTTATAACCTGTTTGGATCTGTCTTATGCAGATCTGTTAAATATTGATTAAATTAATCACAGCATTGTAAAGACTGTGGACAAAAAAAAAATCCATTAATAGATTTGAGTAGAGCAGCAGTTAAATTACAAACAGCTGTAAGGTACTCTGTTTCAGAGATTACAATTATTTTTTTTTTTTTCAATTACTGACGTCATCAAGTTAGTTAATTGCACTATAATGGCTAGTCAATATTTACTGATCCAGTTAATATCGGATGATGTGCTGTAATTAATAGTTAAGTTAAACATTTTGAGCAAAACACTGCCTCCTTTAAAATCTTAATTTTACACAGATATGAAGCTAAGACATGAATAAAGGAGGCACAGCAGAAACAGAAAAATGCAATTTGATTAAATAATAAACTCACAGTTTACAGCAAAATAACTGAAATATTTGTGAAAATAAGGATGCTTTTAGCTTTACTGTCTTCTCTTCTTGACTAAAACACATTATTAGACTGATGATTATTAGTGAGTGAGGATATTAAGACTGCCTGTCTTAATACGTAAAACAAGAAATAACGAGGAGAACTGTACACTTACACAACTGCTTCTTCTGTTTTCAATCTCCTGATGCGCGTAAACACTTCGAATGGATTTGCAGTTTCGGTTCAGCAACAGCGCGACTTCTCTGAGAGAGAGGGAGTTTGTGCGTCTTGTGTCTTGCAGTTGCTTTTATCTATCTCAAAATCACTGGCTTCCCCAAAGATGGACACGAGATGTCCTTCAGCATTGTTGTGTGTGAATACCACAGCACAAACAGAACTGTCTAGTTGTTTTGATGCTAGTGAAACAATGAAATATTGAGTGGAAGAAGAAGACACAGCCTGAGTGCTTCAAATGTTTACTAATGTTTACTAACAATAGTTATTCCACTGCAAACCCTGCAAATCTGCAGTTCTGCATGACTTTATTTGGTAGTGTTTGACAAATATGCAGCCCTCTTCTTTATTTGGCATTGTTTCTTTCATGAATTTCTTTAGAAAAGAGAATCTAATAGTTCTCACATTCACAGCCACAAGCCTCACTCTGCTGTACAAGGGCAAAAAATTTACTTTACTTTGCTGTAAAGAGCAAAGAATGTTACACACTATTGATTGCGACTGTTTTGTATTGTGATGCACACTCAAGATGCACTCTGTACAGCTCTCCACGGACACCCTTTATTGTGCTCAGAGCTGGAGGTATCAAGGTCCAAATACTTTGTTACAGTGTTTAAGTAGAAGTTTCAGATATCTATATTGTACCTGAGTATTTATTTTTCTGACAATTTTTTATATTTATTTGTTACATTTTACCACAAATATCTGTATTTTCTACTCCTTACATCTTCAAAATAGACTCATTACTTTAAGTTTAACACATTTGAGGAAAGTTTTTATTTCCCAGCACTGTGTGCCTTCAAACATCAAATCGATTTGGGCCTAAATTGAGGGAATAAGAATGCATAAATGGCAATGTTACTGATGTAGCCTCAATCACTGGGGTTTATCCAACCTAATATCACGTCAAATCGTGAAATCAAGCCAGTTCACCGTGTCTATTTCACATTTTAGAGAGGCAAGGTTTTGATATTTTGTTTCCAGCCAACATGAAAATAATCACAGGAAAGTGTCCCTTTATTTACCAAGCATCATACCTCCTGAACTCATTTGGTAATTTTGGCTGTAAAAGGGTCAGAGATCATACTGTAAGTGAATGCCCTTGCCCTTTTTTCAGAATAACCTCAGCTTTCAATATCTGGCAATCATTTTAGATTATTATGATAAACTGGAAATTTAAAGCTTTAAAGTTGTGTTTTTCTATACTATATTTTGTATTGTGAAAGGTCCTGTAAAACAAATGGAAGTACACTAAATTTGTGTTATTCATTGGTTGCATGAAAATACAAGGCAGTGTTGTGAAGGATAAACAGGTTAGCTCGTTACACATCCATGGTCAGAGGTGATTTATCAGATATCTCCGTGTTGATGTTTTAGTTGCATCATCAAAATACTGTTGCTCCATGATCAACACTGCAACTGACCAATCACGTTGTTATGATGTAATAGTGGGAAAATGAAAAAAAAATGCTCTTATTTATATAAATCTCTGTTCTGGAACAAATGGTCTCAAGTGTTTTCGTTATATACTTATACAATATAACAAACATATTGTGATTCTTTCCCCCATGCTGAGCCACTGCAACCAATCTTATAGTTTCCACATTTTACATAAATATAGATCCAACACTGTCTGTGAGGCCGGATTTAAGAAATAAGTGCTTAAAATTAACATTTTTAGAACATGTTTAGCGCCATCTTGGACTAGTACAGAACATCACACACCAAGTGAAGGTGATGTCACTGGTTTAGTTGGTTTGGTTGAGATTAATGGACTTTTTAGAATTTAATGTTTGCTAACTAGTAACAGAACCGATAACTCAGTGGAAAGGGGACTAAAACTAACAAGCAGTCTGTACTGGCTCTGACTTTTATGTTGAGAAACCGGATATACTGTCTCTTACTAAGTCTCTTACTTTCTTCCAGGATAAAGCAGGTCACAAGAACATTTTTAATTTGCCCCAAATTAAAACCAGAGTCGCTTAAAGTTTCTGAGAAGTTGTTTTTTTTTCTGTTTTTTTTTTTTTTAAAATCTTGTGTCGCATGCATTTCATTAATGTCTGTGATTAATTTACAAGCTGCCAGCTATCTAATTTAACAAGTTTCTGTCTCATCAGTGAGTCATAATTGGAGGTATTGGTCAGAATGATGGTTTAAATAAAGATCTGATTGATGTTTTGTTTGATTTCATTAGCATATTTTCATCACTCCTAATATAACACGTCATTGATGTCCACAGGCATTTTGTGGGACAGTTTTTGTTTCTTTTCTTTCATTTAATGTTGACAAAACATAAAAATGATATAGCAAAATACACAAATTCACCCTGTACCACCACCTCTCTGTAGTCTAAGGAGCTTGGAAAGAAAAGTGTCTGGACTTCAAGTTGCTTGAAGACGTTTCACCTCTCATCCGAGAAGCTTCTTCAGTTCTAGTGAGCTCAGCTCACAGCTTCAGTTCAGCAACAGAGTGACTTCTCTGACAGAGAGGGAATTTACGTGTCTGTGTGAGTGGGAGTGTTCTCCCAGGTCTAGACGGAGGAGGTGTTGCTTCAGTCTTCTTAGGAAAGCCCCGAATGGTCCAAAATACGTGTTGACCTCCACGATTTCATGCACCTGATAATAACATGAAACTCCAAAAACTACAACAAAGAAATGATGTTATGAAGTAAAGAAAGAACTGCTTACACAGGAAAACTGTTCCTTAAAAGGAGAATGACTGGGACATGCTGATATGAGACATAAAATTTGGGGGTTAATTATCCTAAAATAAAACGGGAACCAGAGTAAATGCAAGTCCTGTGACACTGTGCCATCCTCTCTGCATCATATACATAGCACAAACCGAAAGGAGTGCAACACTTGGCTTTCTTGTTGCAGTATATTTATCAGAAATGGTGTAAAAAACTTTACCGTGAACAGGTGTGTCTGCCAAACATTGAGCTTCTCTCCGTCCAACAACATCTGTAGTTTTTCACGAGAATGAGAGTTTATAATGTTTCGTCTGAAATGATGACCCATTTTTATAAATGTAACTGAGCACTGTCGAATAAAATGTGAAAGAAATACATTTAGAGAATCCACTTATGTAGAAGTGCAATGTTTATTAATCTGTTCACTATGTGGTTGGTTCATGCTGGTAAGGCTAGCTGTTATGTTATACACTTCTGAGATATAAGCTAAAATGATTTTGGTGTCCTCTGATGTAACATTATTGGGTTAACCCTTTCATTGCTCCTAATAAAACACATCAAAGATCTACACAGGCATGTGTGGCAGAGTGGCACATCTGTAACACTCCTGCACCTGATTTTTAGAAGAGTATCTTTGTATTGCTACTGCCACCACAGCTGACATCATCATATTTAAAATTGCTATACTTACTTAACTGGCCCTCAGTTATCATCATGTGCTATCATTGCAGGCATTCAATCAGAATGCAAGGAATTAATAAAGGCAGAGATCCTCTGATCAAATTTGATTTCATGTTTTTATTTACAAAAACGCATATACATTTCAGAGGGAACCCTGAGAATGTAAAAAGGTGAGAAAAGTCCTTTCATTTAAAAAAAAAAGGTTTGACCAGTGGGTTACCATAACAATGAGATCCTCACTGATGAGGAAATAAGAATAAAAACATGTGAGGTAGGTGAGAGGGGAAAAGATGGTAAAGAAGAATGACAGAGAAAGAGTTTTCAGTACATACAAATTGGGTTTTGCATATTGTTTAACAATTTATCTTCCATGAATCAACTTCCATTAAACAATCCATCATGTCTAAGAGAATGTTGTAATAATGTCACAAGATAACACAGAGATTAACTTCCACAAGATGATGTGTCATAAATCACAAATCTCTTGTATTTATATTAAAACCAGTTAGAGGTATAGGCCAAAGGTACAACACTGTGGAAGTCTTGAGCTACCCCTCATTTCCTTATATTTTGAAGAAAAATATGACTTACTGCTAAATTGACAGAGTGAAAGTAGACAGTACCTCCTTGGTTTATTATCATCAAACTCACTGCTGCAGCCAGGGGCAGTACAAATGTGATTCCCTTAGGCTGCTTTTTAATTTTAGTCTCTTTGTTTTCCCCTGAGTTGTTGGTTCTGTCACTAGTTAACTAACATAACCTAATGTAAGTCTATCAGCAGAAACCAACCAAACCATAGACTTGCTCTAAAAACTTTAACCTAAAACAATTATTTCCTAAATCCATATTACCTCAATTACAGTTTGTTTGTTTGTTTTTTTACAACAGGGCTCCACTGTGCTAATTAGCCTTCAAATGTGTAGTGTTTCATGTCCTCTTTAATAATGTAATTGAGGATTCAGAATTATTCCACAGTCATAAAATGGAGAGAATCTTATCTGAGATGTGGTTTGGTTAAAAATGCTGGATAAGTTAGATTTTTGAAAATACTTTATAAAATAACCACAGAGCTCCTTTCAGTGTAATAAGTTTGATCCTGCCCCCCAGCTTTTGTGGGTTTCCTATGAGGCCTCTGATTTCCTCCCAGAGTCCAAACACGTGATGCAGGCTGGTTGAAGTGGTAGCTCCGAGTTTGGGTTCATGGGATTAATTTTTTAATGTGGGCCTTGATTTCTCCTCTAAACTTCCCGGTGGCAAAATAATAAACTACAGGATCCAAAATGCAGTTGAGGCCCATAAGAACCAGGGTGATCTGATGAGCGTCGTTCAGCAACTGACGAGTGGTCTCGCTGTATTTCACGTGGCCGAAGCCGTCTTCGATCTCCAGCACTGCCAAAACCCAAGGGCCTTGAACTATGTGGTGTGGCAGGAAACACAGGACAAACACTCCCACCACTGCCAGCAACATCTGGAGAGCCCTCCGTTTTACCCCTGTTGGCCGTTTAAATATGAATGTCACAGTGGGCTTTTTAGACTGTGTTCCTGAAGACTGACTTTCCGACTGAGGAGAATTTTTAGAAATTAAACTTTGAGCAATAAGGAAATTGCACATCACAATGAGTAAAAAGACAACAAAAAACGATCCAATTATTAGAAAATGAGTGACAGCCACTTTTTTCTTCTTGTCATTAGTTCCTCCCTGGTATCCCTCAAAACAGCGACGTATGTCGGTGTTGTTTTTAGAGTGCACGTTGATCCCTGGACTCACCAGAAAAGGAAGAGACATCGTCAGAACAAACACCCAGATACAAATACAAACAATGATTCCACGAATTCTG